AAAACTGAAAACAAGTTTAAATCTTCCAAAAGAAGGACTGTTTGTTAAATTATAACTAACAGGCATCGAGCTATAACAGATATTACGCAGTCATTTAATTTTGTTTTTCTAGACTTTTTAATGACAAGGTCAATGTTCATGACATGATGTTTGTATCAATCACCTGGCTGCCTTCAGCTTGAAGCATATCTTGCTTCTCTTCAGGACTTCTCTTCATTTCAAATCTCTGGATAAATTCACAGTCTTCAGCAGAAATCATCTGACCTCTGGAAAGAAAGAATATGTTGGTTTTGTTCAATAGAAGCTGAACAGACACTATGAAGAAGCAACTGAAGAATTCTAGCCTTTTTCCTATCTCCAAGTGGTAAAATATGGTAATTCACGGGCACTGATTTTTTTTTCTTTAAAGGGGTTTAAAGTGGACCTTCTATACTGACTGTAACTACTCTGGAACCTGAGTTTATTTACTTGCAAAAACACACACAAAAAAGCCATACTGCTTTTAGGAGATTGTACTAATGCTGAAATTAAATTATTCATAGCTTCTTGCTCACAGCAAGGATTAAAATGTTCTCTCTCTCTCCATTCCTGTTGCTAAGTGCTGTGGGATTTGCTCTACCTCCTTTCGACCCTATGGACAACAGAAGAATCCTGACCTGATCCTGTGCCCCCCTCACAGGCTCTACTACATTTAATCCCACTGCTGCTGTCATCACTCAAGTCTCATCTTCTCATTCACTCCCAAACCAATGTATTTAGCTGCCTACCTCATCAAAACCAGAGCAACTTTATACTGACTTTCACATTTTCTCCAGCATATCCTTCTCTACCACAGAAAAAGGTAAGCTGTCCTGTCCTCTGAAAACAGCCCCTCCATCCTGATCTCCTATCCTCCCCACACTTGTCCTACACCCCAATTTCCTTGCACCTTTTGCAAGGCCCTCCACTGGTTCTTTTCTCTTCAATGCTTCTCCCCATGGCTCACTCATGGCATGTTGCTTTACTTTAACCAACACTCTCCTCAGTAAGATTCAAATCAATAGTCTTGTCTTCCCTCTCCTTCAAATCATGCTCCTCCTCTGCTTAAACAGCTCTCTGTTTTCACAAATTCTGCACTATCAAAACTGAACTAGTCATCTCGTCTTCCAAAACAGCTTGGCTTCCTAGTCCTCCCACCCTAAATCAAGTCCCTCCCTTGTGAAAACACATGTTGGCAAAACCTCCTTGCAAGCAACCATAAGATGCTGGGCACTTCAGGATTCACATTGACCCTGAGATCTCAGCGCACGAAAAATGCACCACACCACTTCGAGGGAGAGTTCCCATTCCATTTAGAAAACTCTGGAAACCCACTAACCCCTGTGACCACTATTTTCTGCCCGACTCCAAAAATAGACAAATTATACAAACTGAAAATATGTAAGTAAAATTACATGTATTTTTTTAAAAAAGCATGCTTAAAATAAAAATATTTGTAATTTGGTCAGGTTTGTGTTGTTGTTTTTAAGTCAGCAATATGAAGATTAAAAACCCTCCCCAAGTACCTTGAGGTTCCTAGTGTTTCAGCAAACCCATTCAGCAAAACAGACTCTAAAGCAGATTTCCCAGCACGCATAACAAGAAAATGTCTTTTTTTTTGTTGCTTTCCCCCCCCCCCCATTTTGGTTTTCTCTATTCATTGTTCTACATTTTCTTCCCCTCCTCACCCCCTCCCCCAGCCCACCCACAGTGCATCCCTTGCTCCAGATTACTGTCGTACATATAATGCCTAATCATATATTCCTTTCAGACAGTTGTTCCCCTCATCTGTTCTACTGCAGTGTTCATTATCTATCCATTCTCTTCCCATTCTCTCTCACAAACCCCCTCTCCTGTCTGTCCTATGTTAGAGCAGTAGTTTTATACAATATTTGTCTTTTGTTGACTGAGAAATTTCACTCAGCATAATGTTCTCCAGGCTCTCCCATGTTGTGAAACATTTTACAAATTCACTGTTTTTCCATGCTGTGTAATACTCCATTGGGAATGTACCACAGTTTTTCCATCCATTCATTTGTTGGTGCGCACAAGGCCTGCTTCCATCTCTTTGTAAAGCAGAAATAAGCAATGATGACAGACATCTGTTTGAGTAGTGACTCTGGTTTTTTTACAGTATATTCCCAGTAGTGGAATTTCTGGGTCAAATGGTATGTCTAAGTTTCAATTTTTTTAGAAAGCACCAGCCCACCTTCCATAGTGGCTGTACCATTTTACACTCCCACCAGCAGTGAACAAGGGTACCAATCTCTTAACAACCTCACCAGCATTTGCTACTTGCTGCCCTGTTGAACTTTGCCACTGTTGCTGGGGTGACATATTTCATAGATGTTTTGATTAGCATCTTACTGCTAGCTAGGGATTTGTAACATTTCTTCATGTGTGTGTTTGCTATCTGAATGTCTTCTTTGGTGAAGTGTCTATTCATATCCTGAGCCCATTTTATGATTGGGTTATTTACCTTTTTCTTGTTAAGGTGCTGGAGTATTCTATAAATTTTAGATATAAGTCCCTTATCAGGTATGTCACTGCCAAATATTTATTTCCCAGTCTGTGAGTTTCCTTCTTACCCTGTTTGAGTTTTTTGATGTGCATAGGGATTTGAGTCTTGGAAGGTTCCATTCATCTATTTTATTCTTTCTGGTTGTAGGTAGTATCTTGCTTTTTAAGGAGAAAAACAAAACATCTTAGGAAGGGACTCCAGGCAGTAGATGTTTACATGATTTATAAGAACACGCTCCTAGCAGAAGTCAGGACAAGAGAATGAAACCAAGTCTTCTTCTTATGGATGACAGCTTTACCTGATTCCACAGATAGCTGGGGGATCTAAGTCACCATATGAATTATCACCTCCCCACAAGAGAGGAACTAACCTTTCACATTTATCTGCTACTCCCACTCAACATACAATCCTCTTCCAAACATCCTATTTTTTTCCTATTCAAAATCCCGTCATATGCCCTCTAGATTTTCTACACCCTGTTACCATGTAACAAATTGCTTTCTATTAAACTACAGTGGCTTACTATTCAGTATGGCTTTTCTGGACAGTGGCTCTGATTTTCACCACTTGGTGGAGTGTGTGTAACCCCATTAAGGGGACTGAACAGCTTGCAAACAACATGAATAAGGTAAATAGCCTCATTCGAGTGATAAAAGGCAGAGATGATGCAAAGTGTGCAAAGTATGATGAGGAGTTTGGTCACTTTTACTATCCTGCCAAATTTAAACTGAGCAGGTTGAAGGCTGAAAAGCAGAATCTCACTACAATCAAGAAAGCAGCAACAGTACAGAGATAACAGACTTTTGAGTCAGATTCCTGTGCTAGAAGGAGGTACACCAGGCCAGACACAGAAACAGAAGCAGTCGAGAGAATCAGAGGCCTGCATGAGACGAATAAACTCGAACTTCCACCCCAGAGAGCCAGAGCCTTCCTCTTGGAGTTTGAGTGGAGGGTTGGGAGAGAGGTCCTTTAACTGGAAGCACTAAAAGAGCTTTGTAACAAGGTTCAAGGTCAGAGAGCCTACAAAGCATGCTTTAGAGGCTGGTCTGAAGGAAGAACTATATAGTTTCCAAACTTTATTGTAACAGCTTGTTAACATCCCTACTAAACCTCATAATCGTGAATGATGTCTTAATTGTGTGGCCACGGCAATAGATGAGCAGGGCAGGGAGAGCCCTGGGAGGTATGGTTGACACTGCAATTGACAGAACCAGATGTAGGAACATGGGGGGCATGTGTGACCTCAGGAATAAGTTTTGTGATGTTGATATTGATAGATATTCTTCCCCCTTATGGAGTTAGTGGAGGTCAGATATAGCTTACCCCATGCCAGCTGAACTGTTTTTATATATATACTCTGAATTTGTCCCTCGACTTTGTAATCCTGTGTTTTACCTTTTTTTTATTTTAATGAACATTTACAGAAATTTTGGATTTCCATTAATCATTGTTTCATTTTTCTCTCTGCCCATCCCTCCCTGCCCCAGTTCACTCCTCTCTTCGAAAAGTAAAAGAAAACTTTCTTCATTGGTGTACAATCTGCCTCCCCTTAGTACACTTCACTATGCAACCTTCACTCGGTACTCCCGTCATAGCCATAGTAACCAATCATATATCACTTTTAAACTGTTCTCTCTCTCATCTGTCATCTGTTTCAATGCAGTATATATAATTTATCCAATTCTTCTCAGTCTCACCCCAACCCTGATGTCAGTCCCGTTCTACAAAAGTGTCACTATGCAGTATTTGTCTTTTTTTTATTATTTTTCATTTTAATAATTTTAATGAACACTTACAGAGATTTTGGATTTCCATTCATTCATTGTTGCACTTTTCTCCCTGCCCCCCCCCCATTTGCGCCTCTCTTTGAAAAAGTAAAAGAAAAATTCTTTCTTTGGTGTACAATCCCCCACACCCCTCCCACTGCCCCAGGTACACTCCACTATGCATCCTTAATTCTGGATTCTTGAGATAACTATAATACCCTATCATATATTGCTTTTAAATTATTCTCTCCCTCCTCTGTTTCAATGCAGTATACATAATTTATCCAATTTTTCTCAGTCTCATCCCCAACGCTGATTGTCAGTCCCGTTCTACAAAAGTGGCACTATGCAGTATTTGTCCTTTTGTGACTGAGATACTTCTCAGCATAAAGTCCTCCAGGGTCACCCATTTTGAATAATATTGCATAGTTCCTTGTTTTTCAATGCAGCCTTTTTAATAGCACTTCTAGCACTGTAACTTTAACAGGAGTTCCTGTTTGAAAACATGGTTTTAATTGTTTTCATTCTTTTTCTGAGGTTTCCTTCATTTCCAGTACAAGAGAAAGTTCAGTCCTGTCTTCCCAGTTCTCTCCTGACATGCTGTTCTTACCTTCCCAGGGATTCTCCTCTCAGGACACACCTCTCTGATGTCTTCATTGACTTCTCCACTTTCCTTGGGTCCTGGGTTCTGTGTGAGACCACTCTATTTCTAGCTCTACAAACTATCCCCAAAAGTTCCCATCTACCTCTGAGCATCAACTACGCTCTGCACTGCTACTATTGCAATTTTGCAGTTCTCCTATTCATTATAAATAACTGTGTCTTTCCTTCAGCCAGCCATTCCTTCTTAATTAACTCTTGATTTCCTCACACTTGTGGCAAGGAAACTTTGTTTAAACTCTTTGTGACTTTGCATCTTCAGGATTTTGCATTTTTTCTGCCAACTGTTCTAGGCCTCATCATACTCTTGATAAGAGCAGTCAGTAGTAGCGGCTAGACACCATCTAGTTTTATCTCAGGCTAGTAGAGGCTGTGGTTCTCACAGTCCAGCAGTCCTTGGTTCCTTGAGTCTATGATTTCTTCACTTTCCTTCTTGCAGATGGATAGAGACCAACCGTTGCAACCTAGATAAAAATTCACAAGCTCTTTTTCTTTTTAATTCATTTTATTGAATATTTACAGAGACTTTGGATTTCCATTCCTTCATTGTTGCACTTTTCTCCCTCCCCCAACCTCCCGCCCAGTTCTCTTTGAAAATTAAAAGAAAAATTCTTTCATTGATATACAATCCCTCCTCTCAAGTCCACTCCACTATGCAGCCTTCCTCTGGACTCCTATCATGACAATAATACCTAATCATATATCCCTTTTAAACAGTTCTCTCCCTCCTCTGTTTCAATGCAGTATACATAATTTATCCCATCTTTCTCAGTCTCCCTCCAACCCCAAGGTCAGTCCCATTTTACAACAATTTTACAAACTCCCACCAACAATGAATAAGAGTTCCAGTTTCTCCACAACCTCGCCAGCATTTGTTGCTTGCTTTTCTGTTAAATTTTGTTATTCTTACTGGGGTGAGATGATATCTCATAGTTGTTTTGATTTGCATCTCAGAGCTAGGGATTTTGAACATTTCTTCGTGTTTGTTGGCCATCTGAATGTCTTCTTTGGTGAAGTGTCTGTTCATATCTTGTACCCTTTTTTCAACTGGAGTATTTACATCTATCTTGTTTTGGTGCTAGAGTATTTTATAAATTCTAAAAATAAGTCCCTTATCTGACATGCCATTACCAAATATTTTTTTTCCCCAGTCTGTGGCTTCCCTTTTCACCCTGTTGGAGAAGTTTTTGCATGTGCATAGGGATTTGTTTCTTAGACGGTCCCATTCATCTACTGTATCCTCTCATGGTTGTAGATTTTTCAGGATTCTTGGAAGACTGTTTATGTAAAAATTCACAAGCTCTTAAGGCCCCAGTTGCTATTGAGCAAAGTAGGATGCAGATACTTATCAGCATGCTATCTTCCACTTCCCTGAACTGTTCTCTCCTTAAAGTTAAATTCTCCTTCAAAACACAGTTTATGGAGGATCCTCTTCAGGAAAATTCCAAGATTAGGTTTAGCTCTCCTATTTCTGCATCTCTCTATTATCATAGTATGAGTTGAGTTCTTTTTGGGAAAATGCCTTGAACTTGGTAGCTACTCAATATTTGTTGAGTGACTAAAGCAAAAGCAGAAATAGTACCATTTTTTTATACTATGCACCCCCCTACAGTAAAATTAAGAAGCAAGAATAAAATTAATGATTCTGCAGTTTGCTTTTCAAAATGCATGTGCAAATATGGACCAAATTTGTCTAATAATCCATTCTTATAAATATACCAAAATAATGTTAAAATATGTTAAAGAATAAATAAAAAATCTAAGAGAATGAGCATGAATTAAAGAATAAATAAAATCTTACTTTATAAATAAATAACATAGAAACACAAACACATTTAACATCAATATATGTATTGATTACAAAGATGTAGAATTAAAATTGAGAGGGTATCAAAACCATAACCAAACCAACTGCAAGCACATCAACTGCACTCCTGAGGATCCTCATCAGATTTTAAAGGCTGAAAATCTCACCTGGAGGAAAAAAAGGTTCTTTCTCTCACAGAGGGGCTGTTGGACAGAACCGCTGACTTTTCAATCGGCAGTCCAACACTTTACCTATCATATCTGTGCTAACTTTCAAATTAGTGATTCAATTCCATCCAACCACTCCAAGACAGAAAGACCCAGCAATCTGCTCTCACAAAGACTGTTGCTGCTGTTGGGTGCCATTTAGTCACATACAACTCATAGTACAACTCACAGTGAAGCATAGATCTGAACTGTCCTACCTTGTGCCATCTTCACAATCTCTGACACACTCAAGCCTATTGCTGCAGTCACTGTGTCAATCTACCTGGTTGTGGGTCTTCCTGACCTTTGCCGTCCCTCTACCTTTCCAAGAATGAAGTCCCTCTACAAGGAATAGCCTCTCCTAGCAAGAAGCCCAAATATGTGAGGTGAAGCTTTACCATCCTTACCTCCAAAGAGCACTCTGGCTGCATTTTTCTCTATTTTGTTCTTTTGGCATTTTCTACAAGATACTTTGTTCCTTTGGCAGTCCATGGATATTCAGTACTCCTCTCCAACACCACAACTCAAAGACCTCAATACTTCTGTCATCTTTATTCATTATCCAGCTCTCAGATGCATAACAAGTCCTAAAGATTACAGTCTAGAAAACCCCAGGGGGAAGTTCTATGCTGCCACATAGCATGTAACAATGACATTGGAAATATATTATTTCACAACATTTTGAAGTGTCTATCACCATTTCATATACACTTTACTGAACTTAAGAGAAGTTGTGTGATTTCATTAAGATCACCAAATTAGCAGACAGAAGAATCAGCATCCATACTCAAATCTTAATTGACATGTCTCTCAGTTTTGTCAGATGTGCCACTACCACACTGATTAATAAGCCTGACAGGCTGCTATGGTAGGCTTTACCCATAACCCCATCCTCCCTCCTGAGCTCATGAGCCTCTTATCCATATTTCCACTCATTCAAAACTACAACTTTCCAGGAAGAGGTCAGAAGTGCTGAAAGCTGCTCTGCTCCCCCACTACAACTCCAAGTTATTTCTACCACACCCTGCTATCCTCATGACACTTAATTATCAGGGAGAGGAAGTACTTCCTTATACATTAGTACTTTTCCAGTATTTCTCTCATCAAAGCATGACCATGAAAAGGCCTGGTGCAGAACGCATGATTATGCATGAGTAACAACAGACTGGCACTTACTGGAGGTAGGATTGCCAGTTCACTTTGTTTGCACGAACTTCTGCAGCCTTGGCAGCAATGATGTTGGTTGGGACAGCAGCATCCACAGCACCCCGGATATCCATTTTGGTCATGTAAATTTTATTATTTTGAATGTTCTTCAGAAAATCTCCAATTCAGATATAAGACAAAAACAGAATAGCAAATTTTATTCTCTTTGGTAACTATCACTAATATTATAACACTTAAGAACTAAAGCTTATTAGTCAAAAGCAAATGCCAAGTAAGCTAATTTCAATGTCAGACATATAATCAACTCAAATATTAAGTAGCTTTCAAGTCCTGCCATTATGTGCTGTTCCACAAAATTGTTTTCTACAGGGTTTATCTTTTTAGGAAAGGTTTTTATATTATTTACATTAATAAAGCATTAAGATTTTACAGTCATCATTTAAGAGAAAGCTATCAGACATGATGCTTACGTGGAATGCTGTTCTTTACTGTTAAGTGCCACCATGTAGATTCTAATTGATAGCAACCCAATGGACAGCAGAACAAAACACTGCCCAGTCTTACCACATCCTCACGTGAAACTCTTGTTATATTTAGACTCATAGTTACAGCCACTGAGACAATCCCTCTCCTGAAGGATCTTCCTCATTTTTACTGATCCTCTAATCTTCCAGGGAGTTTTGTAGCATAGTCAGTAGGGAGATCCACTGTTAATCCAAAGGTTTTGCTTCTCTGGCAGTTCAAATCCACCAGCCAGATGGGCAATTTTCTCCCATACAATTTATACCCTCCAAAAACCCACCAGATATCATTTACAAGTCATGCCAATGAGTTTCAGGGATTTTTTTTTCAGTCAACTTCTCCAAGCATGCCTAAATCCAAGGAATGGTCTCCACTGAATATATGCCTAAAGTACTTTAGACAAAGTTTCAGAATCTTCACTTCTTTTTTTTTCTCATTTTTTTCAGAATGTTCACTTCTAAGGAATACTGTGGCTGCAGTTTTTAAATGGAACAGGTATACAAAACAGGAAAATAACTTCATATAATCAATATTCCTCTTCTGATAAAGATCATAGAATACCAAGAACTTTATCAGTGCTTGCTAAATTATAAAATGATTAATTTTAAGTTATACATTAGATGTCCTATATAAAAACACTGCATTTCCTGTTCAAACAAAAGTACCTGGAATGGCAAAGTTATTACTTAGAAGAAATAATTCCTTTTTCAAAGTGTATGTGATTCTAAAAATCACTTTTAGGGTAATTTTTGCAACAAAGAGCAATTACAATTTAAGCACCCCAACATTAAGTATCAGGAACCTACCATAACAGCTCCCAAGTAATTTTACTCAACTGTGGAAGAAAAATTCACGCGTGTTTACTGCAGCACAAAACATGGGTTCCAGTTCACAAAATAAACACGAATGAATATGGCCACAATGGGGCTAAAACCACATCAAAAATTCTATTTCAGAGTCCCAATGTCCTTGGTTAGTAGTTACACATCTGAGTATCTGTTGCCTAAACAAGCAAGAGCTGTGAGGGCTGGCAGGCCCAAGAAGAAACAGGTTCCTTCCGGAACAAGGCCGGAACCCTGAAACCAGGCAGGTTCCACAACACTCCTCTCTTCTGTGAGGGAGCTCTTATTGTCTCGGGACCTGGGTAACTGAAACATTCGCCCCTCCCGCTGCTGGTCAGCGTCGTGGCCCAGTCCTGGGGAAAGTGTATTTTTCACATGCCTCCCTGCTTTCCCCTAACTTCCTGCCGCTTGGGAGAATCTGCAATTTCATAAACTTGCTGAAGGAGTGGCAAGAAAAATCCAGATTAGTCGATCAGAAGAAGACGGAGGAAGGGGAGGAAGAAAGGGCCTGAGGGTGGGGAGTGCTCCAGCAGCGGTAAGACCGCCCTGCATCAGGGACGCAGAAGCAGCCACAGAGGTCAGCTCACCTGGGCCGGTGCCACAGACTCAACACTAGTGCAGCTTTACGTGGCGAATCCTCGGGACCCTCCAACGCACCCAAAGGCGGTGGCTCGGGTCTTCGCTGCCACAGCCCAGCTGCGGCGCTGAGTCGGCGGAGTCAGCGTCTCTTCCGGATCGGAGTCCTGAGCAGCGGTATAGAAAAAAAAAAAATCGATAAATTAAGAGGGACGGACACCAAGGAAGACGTTGAGGGTGCGAAACAGACAAAAGGAAGCAGGAGCGACTGCAGAATGACAGGCTCGCTGGTCACGTGACTGTGGGCACGTGAACAGCGGTGGCGGAAGCCGAGACGGTCCAAAAGATGCGGAGGAGGGGCGCGTTTCCTAAAGGATTGGTGGTTTTCTGAGGGCTGAGCACGTTGATCTCGGCGGAGACCTGGAGCTGGGAAGTAAGAAGAGAAGCCAAATTCTTTTATCTGTATACCTTTGAAAAGTTTGATTTAATGTTGTTATTTAAATTAAATGTTATTGTTAGGTGTCGTCTAGTCAAATACAACTCATAACAACAAACCTAGGAACAGCAAATCTATACCTTGCCCTCTCCTGTGACATCCTCATCATGTCTGATATACTTGAACCCATTGTTACAGTCACTGTGTGAATGCATTTCGCTGAGGGTCTTCCTCTCTTTCGTTGACCCTTTAGTTTAGACTTAACAAGTAAATAATCAGGTGCTTGTATTTTGATTTTTAAAAATGAGACCAATGCCAAGAAGTTGATCCTCAAAGTCAAAGGAGTTCTCTTGATTTGGGTTGCACATTTAGCAGATATTGTATGTAATATCGGGACGTATTTCTGCTAAAAAAAAAAATTTGTGGTGGTTTATCTGAAAGTCAGATTTAAAGGTGTCCTTCACTGATCTGGTAACACGATTTTGGTAACAGGTTTTCTGATTCTCCACTTTACCTCAGCGGCCCTCATTCTCCTTAACTAATAATGAAAACTGCTGTCTTCTTCGTTAGAATTAAACGGCCTCTGAACACCGTTGAGGGTCAGCTATGGATCTGTTCCAACTCAATACACAAAAATGTGTTGCATCTAAAGGTCATATTATGTCTATGTGGCATGCTTTTGTTTAAAAGCACTGAAAGGGATTTCTACTTAATACTCTTCTATTCAAAATATTAAAAGTTTTTAACCTGTCAAAATCAATATTATATATTGATTATAAATAAGCAGTAAAGTTTTTGTTGTATTTCTTTCCTATTGCTGCTATAAGAAGTTAGTAAAAGATGTTGTTGTTGTTGATTGCCTTTCGAGTCGAAGATGACTCATAGCAACCCCATGAACAAAAGGCCTGAAGCCCCTCTACAACTATCGACATTTATCAAAGTTCTTAGAATTTCCAGAGGCATGTTATTTAGAAAGTGGATGTCACTCCTGCCTTATTTATTCTACCGTTTTCCTTTTAAAAAATTAATTCTTTGACTTGCATCTATTTCTGTGTTAAACTCTAGCGTAAATGAATGATTTCATGACCATGAGCAAAATAAGCCACTGAAAACAAACCTTTAAGTCATGGTCCTACTCCTTTTAACTAAATAAAAAATTTAAACTTGAATATTTCAGAGGTTTGGGAAGCTGTTAAGGTACCAAATGTCCAAGGGTGTTTCAGACTATGTGAGACTTTCAGAACTCTCAAAGGGACTAGAAAACACACACACACACACACACACACACACACACACAACACACACATTTCTTAATCTTGACATATCAGCAGTGCTCCTATGGAGCATGACCAATTGGTCATTGCAAATGCAAAGGCAGACTTTGGGCTGTGATCAGGCTATGGCAAGACTTACTCTTGCAAGTAGGGCCTGGTGTGGTAGCTAATGCAAAGGCATTGGCAGAAACTGCAGTATATTTCTTAAAGTGATAACCCTGCACACATCATAACCACTTACCTATCTTTCAGGACTGTCTTGGCATGTTAAGTAAGCATACTCCACAAACAAGATTTACACTTTGCAGAGAGATTAGCATGAATATGCAATAAAAAAGTGTACAAGAATTTTCATGTCGGTATTTTTTATAACAGCAAAATAGAAAAGAATACAAATTTTTATTGTTGTTGTTGTTATGTGCCATCAAATCGCTTGTGACTCATAGTGGCCCTATGTACAAGAGCCCTAAACACCATTCTATCCTGTGCCAACCTTGCCATCTCAAACACACTCATCCCCACCACTCCATTCACAGAATCAATCCATCACATTGAGCGTCTTTGTCTCCTGCACCATCCCTCTACTCTCCCAAACATGATGTCCCTCTCCAAGGATGAGTCCCTCCTTGCAACATGCCCAAAGTATGTCAGACAAAACCTCAGAATCCTTGACTCCAAGGACCATTCTGGCTTCACCCTCTCCAGAACAAACCTGTTTGTTCTCCTCACAGTCCGTGGTATATTCAACACTCTTCTCCTCTTCTCCAGCACCACAGCTCAAAGGCATCAATTCTCTTTCTGTCATCCCTATTCACTGTTCATCACTCCGATGCATAGCACATAATTGCAAAGACTATAGCCCGGATCAGGAGCACCTTAGTCTCCAGCCTGACATAAGAACTCTTCAGTACTCTTGAGAGGTCCCTCACAGTTGACTTTCCCAATTCAATTCGTCTCCTGATTTCCTGGCTGCTGTTACCAAGAGTGTTGACTGTGGAACCAAGTAAACCAAAACTGTTATCTCAATCCCTTCATCCATACTGATGCTGCCATTGGCCCAGTGGTGAGAATATTTGCTTGATGTTGAGCTTCAATCCATATTGAAGGCTGCAGTCCTTGACCTTCTGCAGCAAGTGCTTCAGGTCCTCAGTTTCAGCAAGCAGGGTTGTGTCATCCACATAACGCAGGTTGTTGATGATTCTTCCACAAATCCTAATGCCACATTCCGCCTCGTACAGCCCAGCATCTCGGATGATCTGGTCTGCATACAGATTGAAAAGGTATGGAGACAAAATACATCCCTGATGGACCCCTTTCTTGATTTTGAACCATGTAGTGTCTCCTTGCTCTGTTCTGAAAACTACCTCTTAGTCCAAGTATAGGTTTCGCATTAGCACAATCAAATGTTCTGGGATACCCATTCTTCACAGAGTCAGCCATAGTTTGTTGTGATCCACACAGTCAAAAGTCTTTGCAGTCAGTGAAGCACAGATAGACATTCTTCTAA